TTCATCGTTTTGCTAAATAAAAATTCTTCTCCCATGTCACTGTCTTTTGTCTAAGATGAAAATCCTTCAGGCTTGTACTAAATATGAATGACCCGAGTTAGGTTTGTCATTACTTCAGCTCGTACCCTACTCTCAACTACAGCACTGACATTTATATTAGGAGCAGATTTATGTGTACAAACCTATATAAATGTAACTTTTATGCCACCTGTCAAATTTTACTCTAGAATTGTTCTAATTTATGTGTAGGCTTATCTTCATTTTCATGAAATGTCTGGCTCGTGTAGGTTTTGTCTAATTAATTCCCTGGTATCTATGGTAGAATATTCTCCCCTGTAGCATTTACTTAGCAGTAGCTCTTGTTTCTGAAGTGTTTTTCATGAAAATGAGATTCAAGTCACACTCTCTGTATGTGTGGATGTGATCTGGACGATTTCAACAGCCACCTTTTCACAAAACAACAAGCATGGCTTGCAGACTTTTAACGTGCTCCAATCTTTAGCGATTCCAAAAATACTCACTCGCCCCAGTGTTTCTTTAAATTAGACATTAATCTTACATATGATCCCATTAAAGTCATAATAGCCCCTCAGAATAATTTGAAATAGATGCTAAAAAATTATACAAATCAAGGAAGGTAAAATTTGATGCAATCACATTCTTAAAAAGAAGCTGGTATTTCACAGCAAAATGAATTTAATCAGAAGACATTGATTTGAGTTTTTTTTTCCATGACAGAATTTAAAGAGCAGTGCCAGAGATTATGTTTTCATGGAGTCATTCATCAGGCTGGCATTATCACAGTAGATCTGGATTCATTCACTGACAAGGCAGAAGGCGCTGAGACAAATTCCTGTCATGTTGCGCATTGTGTCTTGCACCTCTTCGGATTTGTCTTTTGGCTTTTTAAATACTTTTTCATCAGCAAATAATTTGATTAGAGCAGAGACTTGCTACCTGACATTAAAATGCCCCAGATGTTTCAAAGTGGAAAATAAAAATAAAAAAAACGATGTGAGGCTATCATGATACATAGTCTGACCATGGATGGAGTTGGATAAATTTTTCAGTTCACTTGACAGCATTCTTTGTGCTTTTGTGAGGAAAATGAAAGGTAATCCACCGTCCTTCCTCTTGGCCAAACATAAGTGGAGGAAATGATGCAATCGCACTGACACATGCTCAGAAAGATGTGTGATTGTTACCTACAATCTGTTTGGCACAGCATCTCTGCTAACCTCACTTTTACAGTTAGCCTGCGAGATGGCGA